GAACGGTTGGATCGATTTCAAAACGCGATCATCAACCGCGACAAATGTTAGGTTTTTTTGATCGACTCGGTTCCAGGTATAATCATTTTAACAGGAATTCTATTTTGCCTGTTATATTTCTGTTCGAAAACAAGTTTTTCTGTGACTTTTATTGTATACATTCGTAAACTATGTATCGATCGGAACGAAAGCCTCGAGCGATGTTGGTGTGACACGTTGGAATTCGTTTCGTTCGAACCAAAGTTTACACTGTGGAAAAATGATATATTATTGGATATTAGGCATCAGAATAAATGGTGAGATATCGAAGAATTTGTTAGATTATTGGAAATAGTAATTTTCCAATTAATTTAATTCGTTATTCAAATACTTATATCGTAATTGTATTCCATGATTGTTACAAATTAAAAGAAACAATCAAAGTAAAGTAATTTTTATTTTATTTTAAAATTTATGGAAAATACAGATACAGGATATTAGAGTGTACCAATGAAAATTGTATAATCATACGATAAAAAGTAATGTATATAAATAAATATTCTTTACAAATTCTTTACCAGAATAAATCAGAGGATCGAAGATTTTGGAGCACAGGTATGTTTCAAGAGGCTGCGGTCCGCCAAACTGATAAAATAAAAAATAATAAAAAAGAAATCGCGAAAATTCTTTTACGAGAAAATTATATAATCATAGAATCTCGAGAATTATATAATTTTCCCGTAGAAACAACGTAATGCATCTAAACTACGAAAAGAAATACGCGAATTAAAAATTGAACATCGAGCCAATTTTACTAATTTTTACAATTCCATTTGTGTAATAAAAATCCAATGTTTAACAAACATTTTAGCGACAATCATATTTATTTTTACTCGTATAATATTGTATATATTATGAACAATTGTTGTGAATTATTGTAATCCATTTTTATACACTATACAATTATTACAAAATAAACTTGAAATGTGCGCATATAATTTATCTATCGAGAAAAAAATCTACGAAATTTTAACGCGCTTACAAATCTAACGTTTCTTTTCGATCGAGTCTTTTCTCGCAATTTTTTCGAAACTTTTATAGAGAATATCAAAATAAAACAACATTGTTGAAACTTTTGAAATCTTATTTCAAAGTTTAATCAAAGTTTGCTGAATCTAAAAATTGAAGATTCATCACTTATTCAAGCTCATTTAAAAAAAAAAAAAAAAACATCAACGATTGATGACGCTTTCCAAGTTCATTTCTGCAAACTTTCTTATCATTTTCTCGATAACAACCCTTTTGTTCGCGTCGAAAGAAACGAATCGATCGAAGCATCCGCGAGAAATTTAAATTCAATATCGTTCGAAACACGCCCAAACTCTCTGCACAACTCTTGAAAATTCCTCCCCAGTCGAATCCAGTGGAGAAATTACGTCTATGAAATAACTTCTGCGGAAATATGTTTGAATCGTGCGAGAAACCGGTTGTTCCTTTTGCGCCGGAAATTCCTTTTCAAAGAGATGAAACGATTCTCCAAAAAGTTTCGATTCCTTCTCCATTCGTGAGACGCGATCGTTTTCGAAAACAATAAGAGAGAATATCGTCTCCACGATATTTCGATTAATTCTTAATCATTGTAAGTTGAATGAAGTTGAAACTTATGTAATTATATAAAAGATATCTCAAAGATAGATATTCTCGCTTTTTACATTAATTTTTATTTATGTAATTGTTAATAATAATTGTTAATAATTTTCTGAATATTCTTGATAAAAAGAAGATCAAGGAAAAATTAAACTTTATATTCATTGCGGATAAAAGTATTTGTATGTAAAAAATATAAATTGTAAATAAAAATAAAACGAATAAGAATAAATAAATGAAAAGAAGAATGGCACGTGATATGAGAAGATCGTAAATCACGCTAAAAAGAGATAAAATTAAGTCAGATATTCTATGATAGTTAAATGCAGGAAAATTTGGGTGGATTTTATGTATCTTCTCTCTCATCTTATCAAATTTTTTGGCCAAAAAGGATGGCCAAATCTCTCGAGACAGCGCTATACTATACCATTCCAATCCTGAGAAGTTTCTTCTTCCTTTATCGAGATTTCCTCCTCTCGGGGAGAGAAATAAAAAAGTTGGTCAATTTTAAAGGATGATTTCCATGTTTGACCGAATTTTCTTTGGATGGAAAAGAATTATTCTCTGCTAAATCTAAATTTCTTTTTCAAAATAATAATGCGAAATAATTCTTTTTCTTTTTTTTTTTTTTGAAAACTTTAAATAAATATTCTTAAAAATAATTTTCCTCTTCGCACAACAAATCTAAGATACAAATTACTTCTCATTAAAGATTACATCATCAATTTAACAATATAAATACAACAAATATCACGAGATAAAATAAACAGATATAGTTCAATTACAAATAAATGAACCACGACGAGAGAGAGCCAATCAATTATCACCGAATCATCCAATTACAATTCAACTACGTCCATCTACACCAATTAACAACAACCTACGATGAAACCAAACGGGAACCACCGGAATCGATCGATCGATCACCACGCTTCTTCTCACACTCGACTTGTGTACGCGGCATCAAACCATCCCACCAACACGACCATACCGTGCCGCGTACCATTACCATCAAAATCCGTTGAAACCGTGCACGAAATCATGTCGATGCCCTGCGAGCAAAAATCGACGAGGAAAAGTCCCGAGATCGAGGAGGGACGAGGGGAGGCCAGGGACAAGTGTCGAAAATTGTGGAAAACCTTGGACCCTATGGTCGTCGATCGAAGCGATAACCTGTACACCGCTGTCCGCCAGAGCTTGCACAAGGTGTCGAGAAACACTTTTTCAACGTTGAAGAGCAACGCGGAAACGAAGAACAGGAGTGGAGTGTCGCAGGAGTCGAGCATTGGACGATTCTCCACCATCAAAGCGTTCTTCGATAAGGACGACTGCCAGGAGGAGAAAGGGGCGAGGTTCAGGTGCAAGATCACCGTGATGGGCAGATTGATGAGGAAGCTGGAATTGAGGAAACGGGAACAGTTTCCTGACCAAGTCACTTCGATGGGTTATTTCATTTTATTTATTCTTAGTTTTTTAGTATTATTGGTGGTTAGTTCAGTCGTATGGTATGTAATACACATAGATGCGTGGAGGCGTGAATTTTTTAGGTTAGGTTTTATTATTGTGTCTCGATATATTGTTGTTAATTGGATATGATTTTAATTATGTTATTTGGGATTAATATGATTGTGTCGTAGTTTGATTTTAATGGTAATGTATTTAATTTGTCATACGAGGAGGTTAGTGTCTGGGTTATAAAAGAAGATGTGGATTTTGAGGTTAAACGATTGTTGTATCGTTGCTGGATGAAGTAACTTTGGATAAATTTTATTTTGGAGTTTTATATTAATCAATTGTTATCTGTCCAATTTGTTGTATGATAAAAAAAAAATTTTGTGTTCAGGTTTCGTAATTAAGATATCTTCGAAGAAAATCATAAATGTAAATCTCCTCGTCTCGTTGTTATTTCAATTTCGATGAATGTTTCGCACAGCTTTTGAAAATTGAAAATTTTTCGAGATCACCGCAAACATTTCCTTCCTTCCTGAGTCTTCGTTCGATTAAAAAACAAAAAAGAAAAAAAAATATATATCTTCGCTTCACAGAATCCACGAAAAGCGATCTCGATGTCAATGGCAACTTGGTATCGAACTAGAAGGGAGCTGGAAGAGAATTTCGAAAGGCGTTACGTAAATTTTGATCTGGGAAGAGGAGGACCATCGAAGAGGAAACAAACTGCTCAAGAATTTAACCTCACAGACACGGGACGCGAGCAAAATTGTATTCTAATTCCATTTTTTTCTTCTTTTTTTTTTTTCTTTCTTTTTTTCTCTTTTCCTGCTCGAGAGAGATTTAACGAGATGTAAACACTGTAAAATCGTGATAAGCACGAAATCCTTTTCTCTTTGGTAGCACGGGAAAAAATAATCGGTGGAGAGGTGTAAAGTAATGTATCGTTGCTCAACCACTAGTCAAAAGTTATATTCCGTCTCTTTCTTAAAGTTAAAATATTCTCATCTGCCATTTTCGAGCTTCATTCGAGAGACGCGAAGTTTTTATCTATATTTTCTTTTTCCTTTTTCCTTCTCCAATGTTGTTTCTCGATCTTTAGAAGATTTTAATTTTACTTAGGAGGCAAAGGATGCGTGAAAATTCAAATTATTTCGATACACTTGGAGAATATGATGGTAGATGGGATATTTTAATGAAAGAGGGGGTGGATTTATGCGCGTCTGATTTATCAGATTCTTGGTGTTTCTGTTAAGTTAAAATGTCGTATCTAGAATTCGAATGGAATTCGTCGTTCGAGAGATCTGAAGTTTTATCTTTTTCTTTTTCTTTTTTTATAGATTGGAATGTTTTTCGAATCTTTGGAAAATCTTTTTAATTTTACTTGGAAAGATGTACGAACTTCAGATTTATTTCGATAAAATAAAATTGAAAAATGATAGATAGGACAGTTTAATTAGAAAGAGGAATATTTATAAGCGCGCGTGATTTAGTCGAATTTAACATTCTGTGTTTTCATAGTAAAAATATCGTATCTAGAAGCGTGAATTTTGAAATCTCGTCATTCTTTTCAAGATAGAACGAATTAAGATTGTTTCTTATAAGATCCGTTTGTACAAGCTTTTCTAATTTTCTTCGAGAGGAAAGACGAAGGATGGAACTTCGAATGTTGCAGGATTGAAATTAAAATGAATAAAATATTGGATAGGATATTTTTAACTATGGAATTTACAAAATTGTTCTTCGATTCGCGACTAATCCGTTAATGAAATTGTCACGACGAAGTTAACGATGTACAAACGAGAAGTATATGTTAAGTAGATTTTTCTCAGAAAGATTCTTTGCCAACGTGTGAGATGTTGGTGCGATGAAAAATGATGATTTGTTTGACAATGGATTTTGATAATTTTTCTTTTCTTTTAATAAACTGTTTACGACGTTTCTACACGAACTCTTTCTTTCATTGCAGGGGAACAGGATTGATCGTTTTGATCAAGTTTGATATTGTATTTTTGAATAGATAATGATTATATTTATTCGTAAAAATAATTATACTCTAATAAAAATAAAATATTATATTCACTTCATTCTTTATTAAAAGAAAATTATTATATACAGCTGTGAAAACTTATTCGATCGATAAACGAAAAATTGACAAATTTTTCCAAGAGATTCATCGATTATCTAAGAAGCACAACATATACGATCAACTTATTATATATATCGTTTAATAGAAATAAACCTTTCCAACCAATGAAAACGAAACCAGTGAAAGTATCGACGTCCAATCGCGTAACACCGACGACAAGAACAACGAATTCCGATTGGCCTGAATCGAAACACCGATTCACACCAAACCCGTTGCCAAACCCAAGTTCGGTTAAACATCGATGCTCGATTTTAACGGATGATCAACCGTTATTTCCGAAAAACTAACTTTCATCGCAAAATTAATTCTTCGTTCTTCGTTGTTCGTCGCGCTTCTCCGAAATCGCTTGTTTGGATTCGATCATTTGGCGCGTGTATACGCTTCGCTCTGTTTACGACCTCGACAAGAAAAACTCTGTGTTTTCGTTCTCGAAAGTGCGCAAAAGTCAAGTATCCGTTGGGACGAGAAATACAAACTCTACAAACTGTTGAACGATACAATACCCCTCTCGTTCAACCCGTGCTCGTTCCATCGATCAAATCCAAGCATTCGTGTTACGAATTTCCATCGCGAGGAAACAAAAGGAGACGGAAATCAAGCAAGGAAGAGCATCATGTCCGAGGGCCGGTGCGAATCGCAGCACAACGTTCCAGACTCGTTCGACCTTGGAGCGAGCTCGGATCGAGAGAACTCGAATTTCAACTCCTTGACCCCGTCGAGCGACGTCGACCTGAGCCCGAGCATAGAAGAGCTGATAGAAAGGATCAAGATCCTTGCGCTGGAGACGCCGAGGCCCCGCAACAAGTTGCCGAGAGTTCCCTTCCCCACCCCGGCCAAGGCGTCCCCGGACGGCAGGGCGATGGCGGAGAACCCCCTCTCCTCCTCCTCCTCCTCCTTCACCGAGGACGGCCAAGAGTTGGGGTTGAAGAGGTTGAAGAAAGCTATAGAGAGGCGTTTCGGGGCGAAACGTTTCCCCAGCCCCGGGAAAACCTCGTCCAACAGTGGCAAGCACGTGGTGGTGGACGGCAAACTGTTGGCGACGATGCTCACCGCGGAGCATCAACGTCGCCAGAGGATGGAGTGGGATCTGGAGGTGGAGAGGGCCGACCAGGTCCTCGACGAGGCGCCGATCTTCGACCAGCATCAGCACCATCACCACCTCCACCACCTTCACCATAATCACCAACCCGACTCGATCTTCAGCCCCAAGACTCGAAGCGTGGTCTCGGACGCGTCCGTCCAGGTGACGAAGGGCTCGTCCTGCTCGGAGATCGACACCTCGTCCGAGTTCGAAAAGTTTCAACACGAGGGGGACGCAGTCGCGTTGTCCCTCGAGTACAGCCTGCGCGAGGTGTCCGAG